TTGACCATTTTGCTTGCCCTGTTCTGCCCCTTTTCCTACTCCACCGTAATCATATTTTTGAATTGTGCTGATCAGGACCATACACAATATCCCAAGAATGGTGACATCCCAGATTTGTGTAAGGGCAGTAAAATATTGGCAGCTCCTTTTTCTGATACTTTAAAAAATTATGCTCCTTGTGGAATTTTGCCTCTTTCACTGAACTATTTATCATGACCTCCCCACTCAGGTGCTGTCAGAGCACATGTGAAGTTGAAATTTTGTATCTCAATGTACATTATTTTTACATATTTCTAAAAACTTATGCTGAGGCACACAAAACAGTTTTTTTTTTAAAAAAAAAAGCCAATTTCATTTCTTGACATAATAGATTAGGTTTGTAATCTATGCTCTTCAACCACAGATATGAAAGTGGATAACAAGTGTAATCTATACTGTTTATTTCCATAACCTGAAAGAAGTTACTTCAGATTTTTGATATTCAAAAATACAAAACATATGATAAACTGCATATAGCTTCTTATACATTCACCAAAGCTCTGGGGAAATCCAACACTGTATTCTGTAACAAGAGAAAAATGCCTATTTATCTTTCTTTTTGCCAATATTTCATAAATTTTCATTTTTCTTATTATCTTAAGGGCATTTCTTATTGTACCTTTAGTGATTGAATGTATTTTGACTTGCCTGCTTTGGGATTCATTTAGGCTATTTTCTTTATCTCATGTTTGTACTGAACATGAAAAATCAGCAGAAAGATTCTATCTCAGAATAGTATAGCTAGCTAAGGTAGGAAAAGTGGCATTAACTATCCAGCTCAGAAATTACAAGTAGAACAATCTTTGGGAAGAACAATAAATCTGGATGCTGCAACAAATTTATAATCTACTAAGGATGTAATAAGGTAAACTTTTTTCCTATGTTTATCCATAAAATCCCTGAGGTTTATTCATGGAGTCTGTTTTTCCAAACAACACAGATATTGTTCCACATATGTGTGATATTCTCAATCTCCAAATCAGTGTTTTGCATTGCAGTTGCAAATCACATATGCACTTAGCTTATGGTACAATTTTGCATGTATCCACCAAGCAACGAATCCCATTGAGTTCAATGATGCCGTCGCTTTGCAGCCTCAGTTTCACAGACTGAGCCCCATTGCAGCAGAAGCACCACAGTTCTGTGGCTCTTTACGGAGTGACCAATTTATCCTGGCATAAGGTTTCATGGACTTCCCTCACTGGACAGAGCACATGAAAGCTTATGCCATGACAAATGTGTTAGTTTATAAGGCACTACAAAGCTCTTTGTTCTTCCCTCTGCAACAGGGAGCATATCCAAGGGACAAGAAAAGAATAGCTATCACTTTTCTCCAACAAAACATCGCTTCTGTGAATCTTTTGGGACTGGTCGTGTCATGGAACTCTACATACAACGACCTATGAACTTTTCAAAATTCCTGCAAGGTAAATGCGATCTGGCAGTCTCAGAATTCATGGCACATTGTATCCATGCTGATGAGCTTATTTAGTCCTAAACGGAGGACCTGAGTCCCATTTGAGAAATACAGCCAGCAGAAGTTGCTGGAGGAAACTGGCACACAGGGCTTGGGACCTAAATATATGAAGGAATCAGGTGAAATGAGCTCATCCATATTGCTACAATGTGCAGTGAACTCTATGACCTCTACATAGCATTGACTTTGCAGAAATATTGATAAGTTCTTCCTTCCTCTGGCAGTGAAAATACAGCAATAATAAATTAAATATTTAACAAGCTGGAAGAAGTTGCTGGGGAAAAATGGCAGGTAAGGGAAACATAAAAGCCCTACTCTCACCCTTCTCTGCCACTTGTTCCTTCTTCCCTGCAAATGGGCCTTCCTTTATACTTTACTGAAGCAGAAGATGGGGTTTTGGAAAGCAAAATTGGTGCATAACATGAAGTTAATTTCTTATTAGAGGTTATCTTGAGCTTGTAAGTCATGGCTAATGTGAAATTGAATAGATAATTCAATAAATATGATGGATTTTCTTCCACTGTGCTAAGACACACCCTTTTAATATTTTATTTTTGTTGGGGATTGATTCGTTTAATTGTTTGGGGATTTTCAGTGTACTGCTCTTCTGCCCTCTAATTCTGGAAACATGCACTAGGCAGCTGCTACCTGTTTTCTTAAAATACTCTGTGTTAATGTATCTATGTAACATACAGTAAGATGCTGATTGATTGCATTATAGCTAATTAGCTAAGAAAATAAAAGAGCCTATCAGTCTTGTTTTCATAAGAGTTGTCACATCACACTAGCTTTCCTCAAATTCACACCAACAGCAAGTCTGTGCTTCAAAAATGAACTAAGTGATTGCAAAACCAGTTAAAGGCAGATATGACTACATCCATGAGGTGCAAAGAAAGATTAAACCCTGCTTATTCAAATGACAAAGAAATTATACAGACTCTTTTCAGCAGCAGGCCAGTTACTGACAGTAATAACACGCCTTCCCATTTCTACTGTACCTTCCCTGCTCTTATTTTTGACGGCATTCATGCCCCACATTCAGCTTCTCATTCTAATAACTGTACTGAAATCGCACAGACAAGCTATTCTATAGGCAATGCAGCTAAAAGTTAGTATTGTGACAAAGAGTTTATCCATAGAGAAATCAGTTTATGCAGAAGGATGATGAGTGGATTTTCCCATGGTGACCCTCTTATCAGACCACGGAGCTAGGTGGATAGAGAAGTGATGGGACCCACTAAGATTAGATTCAGGTGTGGGGATTAGATAGGGAAATGGTGTAGGGAAAAGTGCTTAGCTCACCTTCCCATAGTGCTGCAGCCTGGGTCAAAACTGGGCTCTATGGAGTCTCCCAGATGTCCATGTCTACTATTTTACTCTTGATGACCAATCATTCAGTTGTTTCCCAGTTTTTGTGTTGTTTTTCCTGACTTTAAAAGGTCAAAGACCCTCTCTTCTTCTGCCTTTAGCACTGCTGAGCACTGGAACACAGCCACTAAAGAGGATCCTTTCACTCCTTGCCAAAGCACACCTGTTAGCAGCAAATTTGGCACATAGCCCCTTCCCTGTACAATTTTCCTGTATTAATCACTCTCTCAGCTGCTACTCGCCCTGTTCTGGAAAATATAAAAATAACTTTTAAGCCCTTGCTGCTGCTGTTTTAAACAAGGTGTACTATTAGCCTGGCAGGGGGAAGATTTCACATGGAAAATAGCATTTCCCCCAATACAGGGTACCTGAGCCAGGGGCAACTAGCAGTTTACTTGAAAAAAGAGAGAGAGGTGGAAGATCCAATCACATGAATGACACACAGCCAGCCTAGCTTACGCTCAGCATGATGTAAGAACATTAGAATCTGTTCAGGCATTATGCTTCAACAAGTAATTCTAACCTATGAGCCAGCTCCATTTCCAGTGGGCACATGTGCATCCACTTTGCTGCTTCTGTGGCCAACCTTCCTGTACTGAATGCAGTGGTCTGATGGGAGTGTCTATGTCCACTTAACTGAAGCAGAAAACCAATAACACACTTTCTCTTTATCAGGAGCACTGCTAAAGCAGAATTCCCAGTCCCAGTGGTGCTTAGACACATACCCATATTTGGCTCAAAGGACAACAAAACCTCCTTCAGAGCTTCCCGTTCCATGCTGAAAAGTAGGAATGGACCTGGCAGGATTGTTGGGTCCAAGGGTGACTGATGTCCTACACAGATGTCCCATGCTTAGCCAGTGTGCCAGAGCAGGTCTACGATCTTCATGTATTCAGGCTCCTGTTACCAGAGGAGTCCAGCCAGCATCAGCTGTGCTTGTTCCCTGTCCCCAGAAACTTATGTAGGTCTTCTGACATGGAAGTTCAATTTGAGCTCTTCAACATTCTCATCTTCCATGCTAAGGCTCATTCCATGTCTTGACCATACCCATCTACAAACTCTTTACTTCCCTTTTGATCAAAAAGTGTGCATATCACCATGAATCTATTTCTAAAAATATAGCCGTACATGCCCTGCTATTAAAAGACTGTATTCATTTTTCAAAAGTAGGCATGTTTATGAATATTTTTCCAATGTACACCTGATACTGAACACTTGGCAGGAGAGCCAATGAATCATAGGAACCGAGTGAGTCAGAAGGGGTCTCCTGGGCCATCTAGTCTGAACCCCGGATCCAGCCGGCTCCACTCATGACATGCCTACCATGTGCATGTCTAGCCTATCCTTGAACACCCTCACCAATGGGGCCCCAACCACCTCCAGTGGAAGCCCATTCCATACCCTCGGGGCCCTAACTGTCAGGAAGTACTTCCTGGCATCCAAATTGAACCTTGGTTCCTTGAGCTTGGCTCCATTGGAGCAAATCCTGCCTTCCTCTGCAGGGGAGAACAGGTGTCCACCCAATCATGCAGGTTTGTGAATCACCCTGAAAACCCCCAAATGCATGGACTTCAGTGGCAGATGGTGTTGTGTCCTAACAGTGAAAAGTGGGTAAATCCTGACCAAAACCAAACTGAATCACATTTCTAGTTGACCCCTTATGATATCTAACCTCTATTGCTAGATCTTAGCATTACTGACCATTGCCATGCTACCAGGGACTTCTGGGACTTGAATTCCAAAGCATCCTGAGACATCTATTCTGCCCACCCTCACCTAGAATATCCTATAGAACATTGGGTTCCTTGCAGGAAAAAAGTCAGGGTATAAATATAATACTAAATTATAAAACATGATTTCTAAAAACAGTCTTCTCTACCCTGGTGCTTTCCAGGTTTTGAAGTACCACTTCTTTCACCATTGGCCATACCGACTGAAGCTGATGGGAACTGAAATCCAAAATATCTGGAGGCATCAAGCTGGAGGAAGCTGCCATATAGTGTACACATCAATAATCCTCTTAATTCAAATATACTCTTGCTATGGAAGTATTTATAAAGGATCAAGAATGAAAAGGTAGAGCACAATAATAACTAGAAAGGATAGAGACACTCACTGTGGCCTGTTGTTTTTCTGCCTTCTCAGCAGCCTCATTAAGCTGTTTTTGAAAGGCCTCCTGGAGCGATTTCATTTCTTCCCTAGTTGGTTGAAGAGACAAAACACAAACTTCACGTCTATTGTCCATTAGCACAAAACACGTTATGTTTACTCTTGTTTCATGACAAGGGACTTTTAATTACACAGTATAGGCACTGCTTGTGCTTTGTTGAGGTGGCTTATTAATTAACCCAGTGCACACCAGTGAAGTTCCTGACAAAAAATTTAGAAAGAGGAAATTGCCTCCCTTTTGTATCTGTTGTCTTGCCCGCTGTGCAAAGTATTGCCAATTGTATTATTCCTGCTGAAAAATGTGCACTAACCATATGCAAAGAAAAGCTAAACATGATGAAAGACAAATTGAACCAGAATAATTATATTGTTGTGAACAGGAACTCATCTGCATTTGCTTTCAAACCAGTAAACAAAACAAAAAAGAAGTTTTGAATGTTAAATCTAATTCATCAACCCAAAGCAAACTGCATCCTTGGATTTTCCACCTCCATTCAGGGAGCAGCTATTGTTTAGAGAGAATCATTTTTTAAAAGTGTGTTGCCAGTAAATGTACCATTACACTGGCCATTATACTGGAGTTACAGAATTGTGAGACAGTGGGAACAAATATCTTTAGAAAATCAGCAGCACCAAATCATATCTACAACTACGTGTAGACGCATTGCAGCTCTGACAGTGTTACTGATGAGTGAAGATAGGCTGATTCACAGCAGCTGAGAATAGGTGGTGTTAGAGAGGGTTGGAGGCTTGTGCCCCAGAGTTTCTGAGCTGGGTGCCAAATTGTTAAAGCTGTGCCAGTCGCCAGCCTCTTTCCCCTGATCTCAAGAGCCGTGCCATTACTAGGAGTCCTCAAAATTCACTCTGTTAGAAGATCAATAGGCAGTGTACCGCGATGGTGCCAGCCCTGTAAACTGGAGGGGAAATGACCACCTTTCGTTCCACAGTATTTTCATGAAGTCCAGGCTCCAAAATTGCCTAACAGCTCCATGATTATCTTGCTTTCTCAGACTGTGCCTGAATCTGCAGACAGCTGCCTACCCAACTGCTACTGGGCTATCACCCTCGTCCCCTGGGACATGGTAGACAGCCAAGATGGAGAGCAGGTACTTTGGCTGCTCACCTATTCATGCAGTGTCAGAGACCTTCCTTATCTGGTGCTCCTTCCAAGTTGGCTCAGGTCCATAAACTTGGGGAAACAGAAGGTTTGTTTGTGAAAAGCGTTGGAATGAGCAGCAATATCTGAATCTGGGGCAAGTTAATGTATGATTATATGGCTTTCCCTACTTGCTTCAGTGTGTCTTGAGTTCTGCAATCATCTTTCTGGACTGCACCTGGTTTTTGCATGATCCATGGGGCTAGCTTTGGGTGGATGCACAGTCTGGGGTGTTTGTACTAGGCTGGAGAAAGGTGAATACACATGGGAAGAAGAAAGGTCTTCTTGCTATTTTCTACCTGAAATTCACAATGCCTTGTTATGCAAATGCACAGGTGTACTGTGGCATAATAAGCTTTGATGGACTGGCATTCACTATAGGAAAAGTTATTTTGAAAGATGTTGCTTTTCAGTTAATTGGAGAAAAATGGCACTTTCTGAAAAAAAGGTGTAGCAGCTCTCATGATCTTTGCTCCACCAGATCCTCCTGAGCAAGCTGACTTTTTGCCCATGTGTGTTTCTACCCTGTTCCTTGAACGTTTCATCCTGAGGCTTTTTTTTTATTTTATTTTATTTTGGAAACCAAATGCCCATTCTTCCCATTTTTCCATCTCTTTTTACACAGGTGGTGTCCTTTGGAAACAGGGTTGTTTAAGCACACACACACATTTTAGAGCCCAAGACATCAGCTCCAGGCAGCTGATTTGGGACAGCATGAAAAAGCAGCAAACATTCAATATTTAAGGTACTATTGTTGCATTTTCATTGCCAGCTAGGAGAGAAGCACCTGTAAGATTATTTTGCCTCAGGGGCTAAAACAACTTGGCCAGCTTTGAGTACCACTATTAACATTGGCTGGGGTGCCATTTAGAAACATAAAAACATAGAAACAGAGCGAGTCAGAAGGGGCCTCCTGGGCCATCTAGTTTGCCCCTCAGCTCCAGCCGGCTCCACTCGTGACATGCCTACCATGTGCATGTCAATTTTTCACATAACCTGCTGCTCTGGCTCAGGGAGGTAAAGGTTCTGTACTAAAAGCAAGTGAGTAATTAGCTTGCCTTGGATTAAGTTTATATCTCATAGCAATTATTTTAAAATTATGATCATATATTCACATATGTAAGTAAGATATGCAAAACTGTGCATTTTTTGCCCTATGAGCAAATTTTCCAGACCTTCTAGGTTCCTAGAATCTTCCTTGGCTGGTGCAATCCTTGGCTGGTGCAACATAAGCAAGACTATAAACTAGAGATGAAGTGCTGGTTTCTACCAAAGCAAAAGCTCATGGTGTTAATAGAGACATCCAGCAATAAGTGACAGGCCCAGACAGAACACACTGTTTTGATTGGAGCAGTCCTGTATCAAACAAAAGAGCAGCTGTTTATCCTGCCTATTAGGGTCAGCGCAGGGCTTCCTGACAGCTAAATAAAATATAGCCCTTCAATAGCTAAATGGGAGAGCCCCTCCCCTTTGTTTTGGAAGATTTATCGCAGAGTATTCAAGGCAATGTTTCAGGACTGAGATACTGTGTATCTGACAGGAAGTGCTTGATGTGTTGTTTGATCTAAATTCCTCAGGAGCCAAACATACAATAGATGCAGAGCATCTCTTGCATTAATTACAGACCAGTTGTCATGCCTTGGCATTTTATCAATAGCAGCATCTAGAAATGTGTGCTTCCATAACCACAATGGGACCCAAATCCAGGGAGTCTGTAATTATTATTAATTGTTATATTACCCACAGAAGTCGTTTCCATAGTTTTTGTTCAGACTGTCAGAAGAAAAACCATAGGGAAAAAAAGAAAGAAAAGAAAACAAGGCATTTTTCCCAACAAACTGCACACACAGTGCGGTCTGTCTCTGGTAATCAGCACAGTGAAGTCAAATTCTCTATTTGTTTCTTCTGGAAACAATCTTCATGCATTTCAGATGGGTCGCAGCAACTTTGAGATGGCACATTGCTTTGCAAAAGGGAAATGCTATCTGTTTATAGTATCTCTTGGGTATAACATGTGCTTTATATACTGAAGTCAGACAAGTATCCAGAAAGGAACATGACCAATCTAGAAAGAGCCAACTTTGGGTAGAGAAAACTTGGGTGGAAAACCCAGATTTGAGTTTTGGGAGTATTCCTGGACGCCACATTGCTTCTGGACATCCAGGTAATGGCTGTGGCCATGCTTTTATGTACAGCCATATGTACATATGTACATGCTTTTATGTACAGCACCCCCCCCCCAAATCAGCACAATCAAGTTAAGCTCTGCATTTGTTTCCCTTGGAAACAATTTTCATGCCTTTCACATGAATCATGATAACTTTGGCTGATGCTTTGCTTTAGAAAAGGAAAATGATGCAATGTCCTTTTAAAGAACGTGGCCTTTCTCCAAACGCTCAGAAAAAAGGCTGGGGGGAACCAAAAGGATGAAATCTATATTTTCCAGTTACTTAACATCCCTCATTATGTGATTAAAGTATTTTAAAATGTATTCTGTAGAAACAAGTGCAGGTTTCAACAGTTGAACACAGAAACTGAATAACTGTTGGAGACAAAGTGTTGTTTTTTAATCATTCAAGCTTAATAGAAATTGATATAACGAGGTGGGATTAAGAAATTCTTAAACATATAGGCCACAGTGCTATGTACTCTTCATTTCATTTAATGTGACTTAGTTCAATTAAGCATGGATAAGACTCCAGTGTCACAGAGCGTCCCTACTGGACATAGCATGGAAATTGTGTCCAAATTCTTCACATTTTAACTGGGAGGAAAATGGTTTAGCTGGCCGGCTGGAGGTCTGTCATTGTTGCAGGGAAATCAGGAGGAAGTGGATTCCCTCTGCTGTCACAGTCTCAGCATGACCCCTCTTCATTTCTGTGATGTTGGTCCAGCATGAGGCACAAACCAGCCAAGTAGGTTTCCTTGGCAGCAAGGAGCAGGGGTTCGAGATCAGGTCTCATCCAGGGGGATCTGCCAGATCCTGTCACCCATGAGGGAAGCTTTGTTTTATTTGTGCATTTAAAAATTAAACTGATATTAGGTCAGTTTGTTACTTCTGTGTTGTTCTTTTCTGCCAGGACTGTTCTGTTGTGCTTCCTGGCTCAACATGATGCACATTCATAGCCGGTGCCAAGATGCATAAGTAAAGCAAAAATTAAAGCAAATAAAAGCTGAAGCATACCTTTGTTTCTGGCCTAATTCCAGGAGTTTCTCTACATCACTTTTAGCAGACGCCTCATCATTTTTCAAAGACTGATGGCAAAGGGAAGAAACAATGTGTTACCAAGGAGCTCTTTAACATTTTTCAACAGTAAAACTATTAACGCTGACCCCTTTGATCAAATGGGTTTCTGGAAATAGGAACATTTAGGACTGGGTAGAGGAGGAAGGGGAAGAACAGAAAAAGAAGGCAATTTATTCCTTTGCTGCAGACACTTTCAGCTATAAATCTATAAGTAGGGATGGTGGTAAAGGTCACATAAATTCAGCATGTCCATACAGCACTTTAATTATGCCACAAAGGATTACCTGACCTCCTGTCATTACAATATTAAGATAGATGGTAAGTTCACATGTAATTGTGCTTTTTTGTGGGACTGGTCTGCCTTCTCTGTCAGAATATTAATACCTTGTAGCCAGTAAAGATAAGCAAATCATTCTGTTTCCAGCCCATGCCACTGGACAGTTATTTTAAGTATGAATCATCATGTATTTTCTTCATCATCATCATCACCACCATCATGATCATCATTGCCACCACCATGCTGCATGTATATCCTACTTTTTTTCCTTGTGAGCTTACATAGCCCTGTTTTATCATAACAACAACCCTTTGAGGTAGGTTGGGCTGAGACTCTGTGACTAGCACAAAGTCACCCTTTACAGCCAAGTAGAGACTAGAATCCAGATCTCCTGGTTTTCAGTCCAATGCTATGACCACTGGCTCTTATGACACTGGATATTTCATTTTTCCAATTGGATTGGTGGCACAAAACCTGGGATTTGTAGCGGAACACACACACACAACTTTGTCATAGGTTTGGAGGAAAATATGACTATGTTAGAGGAAAGGTCAAATATGAAACTGCATTTTGTGTATCATTTTCACCCTTGTGACTGGCAGTGCAAACCTCAAAGTTTGTAGTACAATACTGGCTCAAAATGTGTATGGCATATGTGTAGAAGATATATCAGATTTAGAGGTTTATAGTTAATATAGCTTCATTTTATCATGTGTTTACTCTTAAGCTCATTCTCTCAGTTTTTAAAACTTGCATGAGAATTCACATTTACATAGACATTATAAACATAGGATCTCTCAGTATAGATTTTTTTAAAGTGTGCTTTCCTATCATACATTTTAAATGGTTTCCCTCCATCAAACAAGATCTTCAAACACATTTTGAAGTGTTTTTAACCCAAGCACTGTGTTGGAGCAGTCAAGAAGTATAAAATCTGAATTACTAAGTTCTGAATCAGAGTTTAGTCCCTGGAGCCATTTGTACATGAGGGGTTCAGCCTATCACTTTACCAAGGCTTTTGCTGCCAGATTCTCAGAGGGATTAAGATAAGCTGCTTTATGTTTTGTTTTGCTTTTCCCCTGGGTTTTGCTTTCTTTGCCTTTGGCCATATTCTTTGCAAAAGCACTGGGTGGGCTGTTGAATAAGAGAATTACACAAACACAGCAGTGGGCCTCATGCCACCCTTCTTGGAAGTAGTACACTTTCCTCAGTCAAAGGCATGGAAATGGTTTCAAAGAACAACTTTCAGAGGACCTGAAAGTTGATGGCATCGGGTAAAGTACCCATAAGCTACCAGGAGTGAGGAATCCTGAGCATGCAATAAATGTCTCATGGGGAAAGGCTCTAGATAAGGTCAATTCATATCAAAATTTACCATTTCCACAAGCATCCTGAAAAGCCACAGCCAAATATGTGGAGCGGGCAATATGTCAAGGCCTAAACTTCGCAGGGGACAGGTAGTAAGGTATTTCTGATACTTCATCCTCTGATGTTCCAGCTTTGGGATGAGAGAAGGGATTTCTCTTTTGAGTGGAAAGTCATTCATCGTGTATTATGAGACATTTAATGCACATAATTTGTGTGTGCATGTGGTGTAAAAACAAATCAAAGTATTTCTGATGCTTTCATACCCCATCATTACTGAGCAGCTGGGATTTGGGGTGTAAAGAAAACATTCGTTCTCCAACTCAAACACTCCTCTATCACCCAAAAAAGTGGAGGCTCAAAAGATGTACACATTTTAGTATACGCATTGCTTCGCTCGTAGATTGAGCCTTTTCTCTCTGTGCTATGGAAACCCCAACTTGTTGCCTTTCACACACCATCAAATCCATCACCATGAGCTTAGGAAGGCCCATGGCAGCCTTCTCCAAATTCTGCCTGCTCTGTGTTCACTAGAATGGAAAATTCATTCCAGTGGAGATAGAAGCTTTACTGGTGAGTAGGGCAAGTTGGGAATAAGTAGGTGAATTCAACAGAAGTGGAAAACTCTTATGCGGTGAGGAATCCCAACAATGCATAGACTCCTAGTTACATTTAAGTGAGCACAAGTTGAAGTAACTTTCAGGTCATCCCCTTCAACAGCAGGAGACGTTGGCAAGCACACAAGCCCACCAATATGCCTATGCCTGCCCCACTTGCTTGGTCTCTGACCTCCTTGCAAGTTTTAATCAGCTTGTGAGCAGGCTGAGCACCTGCACAGGGCTAATGATATGCCCATGTCAAAGAAAGGAGGGAAGAAAAATCTGACCTGGAGGTTTACTTTAATGCCTTCAAGTTCCTTGGATGTCTTTGACAGCTGGCGAAGAATGTTGCTTCTTTCCTTAAAGACTTCTTTAAGCTGTCTTTCCATCTCTTCATAGCCCTGTCTAACACAGAAAAAGCATTGGTAAGAGTTTCTTAAAATAACTTCAACAAACCAACCTTGAAAACAAAGTTCTGGTTTATATTTACAGAAGTAGGATCCTGTTCCATATTGATATTAAAGAACTAATTGCTGTCTTCCTTGTTGCCTTCACCATGACAGTAACTTGTCAAATTCACTCATGCTTAGAAAATGAATAGCTTCCCTCGATTTTGCAAAGGTTAGTTCAGTTGATTCTTAATATGTTGTTGCAATCAAGTGGGAATGCCATATGACCTCATTTTCTATGCTTTTCTCAGATTTGGGCATGTTATCAAGTAACTTTTGGGACAATGATGACAACAGGAAGAAGGTAGATGCAACTTCCTAGATTGTGTAGAATCAATCACTGGAGTCAAAATGGACTGCAAGTATTCTGCCCAATCATTTAGGGAAAAATTACCCCAATGGTCTCACCTTTCATTGCTATTACCAGTGAAGGAAGTTAGCACTGATGTGTCTGAAAAATAATGATATCTGTAATAAGAGGAGATTCGGGATGAATCACAGCTCAATTGTCTACAGAAAAAATCTCCGAGTCACTTTTGAAGTTAGAGGAAAGGTAAGGGTCTTCCACCGAAAAGGAAGGATAAATCCAGGTCTTTAGGATGGCTGTAATTGGGCAGCAGGATGTTCCAAGTTGAGCAAACAAAAGAGAGCAGCCAAAGCCTTTGTGTGCTTTATACCCCAGGTCTTAATTCAGGTGGACCATATGACTGTTGGCATTTTAGTTATTAACAATTGTGCTGTCAAATGCTGTGAAAACCCCCAAGTTTACAGTCCTGCACCAGATCTTTTGCTTTCTAACCAATCCTGCATCTCTAGCTGTTTCTCTGATATTACTGCTTAGATGTTTCAAAGTCAGTATGCCCAGGAGGGAACTTCACATCTTTCTTCTCATCTTCTCAATCATTCCGTGACAATATCCCCATTCACCTACTGATTATGCATGAAGCCTTGGTTCATATTTTCATAGTCCTATGTATATTCAGTCCATTGCCTAAACAAGTCACTTCTCCTTTACAATTTTTTAATCACTTCTTCAGTGAACATTTCTGGTCATGCCTCACCTTATGAGAGTTGCTGCGAATTTTCTCTCTCTGGTCTTCCACTGTTCCACCTTCATCTGCTCAGATCCACCCAGGACCCCGTGTCCAAAATAATTCTCCCCACTCTGTCTTCTGACCATGTGATGCCATGCCTCAAATCCTTTCAGTGGCTTTCTGACCATGCCTGAGTCCTACACAAACCTTTTCTTTATTACCTTCAAAGGCCTTTTCCTTCTTTCCCTGTCTGCACATTCCTTCCTCTGGCCTTCACTCATCCAACTCCACCCATCTCCCCTGCCCATTTTCTTTGCCAACTTTTATGCCTGGATCACATTCCCAGACTTCTCCCAGATCGCCTTTCTAGACCACGGATCCATGCAACCATTTCCCTTTCTGGATCATTTCTCTGGCCTTCCTGCCTTTTTGCAGGTAAGAAAGTCAAGGTATATGCAAGTGAAATAAGTACATTTTCTTACCCTGATTACCATGGCCCTGCCTCCCTTCCTCCTCTGTCATTTCTCTGTATTGACTTCCCTTGGAGTCCTATCTTTGTAAGCTATCATGTGCACAGATAGGGGTATATAAGTATTAAAATAATTGTAATATATTTATATATTTATTTATAATATTTATGTAGTACTACTATGTTACAAAATGTCTAAGCATGGGCACACACACAAATCACATTCCAAGTTTCAACTTTAAAGGCACATTTAAGATACAATTTTAAAAACAGTTCCAATCACAGTAATAATGATTTAGAGCAGTGCAGGGGCAGTAAAATGAAATGTCATGGTTAATGTAATTTACAATCCAAGAAAATCCTGGATGAGCAAGTGCATTTCAAGAGGCATTGCAAGATGCCACATGTTTTGCCTCCCAAAATGCACAAGGAATGGTTTTCCACAGGGTGAGTGCTGCTCCTGAGCTAAATCTGCCACCAAGGTATTACATGGTGACATTCCAGTAATTTTGGAATGATCAGCAAACTTTCCTGGAATGACATTAATTAGAAAAGGCAGTCCAAAATTGTTGAATACCTTATATGTCAGCAACTTAATCTCGAACATGGTTTGGTAGCTAATGGTCAGCCAGTGCACTTCTTTTAACACAGCTCATTTCTTCCATCTTCCAGATCATGGAGGCAGTCCAGGAACATACTTACAGCAGTGGCCCCAAAAGCCACTGAGAAATCATGATTACAGTCATTTCCCCCACCACTTTCTCCCAAGCAAGGTCTCCATCAAGGCAACTAAGGTCAATTCCATCACAACCTGGGCCTGAACAGAGACTGGAATGGATCCAGATAAAAATGGATCAGTTTTACTGAAGAGCGTCTCTAACAAAAATGCCACTCTCCTCAGCCACAATGGGATGTTACTGACCAGCTGGCATAGCTATCTGAATCCAGAGGAATTTTTCCAGGCAGTCGAGTCCACACCATCACACACTGTTTCCACTTCTTCCCTGGTCTATTTGGTAAATGGCCTGAAGCTAGCTCAACCTATAACTTACAATAGGGTCGAGAGAGCATGCATTCGGCCCACATCTTCAAGCTTCAAACAATGAAACTGATGCCACAAAACGGGATAAGACAGAACCAAACATAATGTGTCATGATCCACAAAGTCAGAGGCTTTGCTATAGTTTATCAAACACAGACTGATCTTCTACTGAAATTCTTTGGTGTGCTCGAGGAGCCAATGTATATTTACAATATGATCTTGAGTGCCCCTTCATTTTTAGATTTCAGCCTGAATGTCAAGCATTTCTTGGTCCATAAGGTAAAGGTAAAATCCTTTGTTGCAACACCTTAAGTATGACCTTGCTTGCTTGGGAAATTAGTGTGATGGTGTTATAATTGCATTTACTTTCCTAGAAATTGAAATGTATAGTTAATGTTTCCAGTTTATGTCTTCCAAGTGCTTTCAGAGCAGATTTCACTTCACTTTCTAATATTGCAGGCTCTTCCACATAGGATTACTCTTCATAAGAGCCTGTCATCCTTTCATCTCTTCTGTATAGTTCTTTTTCCATATTGATTCCACCGTCTTTGTATTTTATCCAAGTTCGATAGCATGTTCCCCTGTTGGTATTTCAGCATTCTTAATCCAGGTTTGAATTTCCCTTTGATTTCTTGTATCTTTTGGAAGAGGTCTCTTGTTTTTATCTCTTGTGTTCTTCTATCGCTTTCCACTAGTTATTACAATATTGTGGCTATGAGATACTCATTACAAAATTGCATGAGTTTTGTATGAGTGAGATGAGGACAGGTGAGTCATATTTTGATACTCACCTGTCCTTAACAATTGTGGGAATTTATTTCCTTCCTTCCTTCTTCCTTGATCTTTTTGTTACAGGAATTGCCTTTTTGCATTTCTCTGGTTTCAGTCCACAGTTCTTCTAGCTCATGTTCAATTGAGTTCAGTAATACAAATCTGTTGTTTGTGTAAGTACAGACTCATACTTTCAGTCTCTGTGTATGTGTGTACACACAAGCAAATACATCTAGATTAAATTTTAACTCAAGGAACTCTACTTTCTCTACCAGGTCTAAGCAGGAAATATCTGTGGAAGTATCTTTTAAATCCACATTACATGAACTTCTCTAGTGACTTCAACTCTGAAAATAAATAAGCAGGTCAAAATTAAATAAAATACTGCAGCTGGTTTTGAACATCAGCATCCTATTGTTAATTGAGTTAATTAATGTTTCAAACACTGGTCTCCTACTTGCGTTCTGGAATAGTTACATGGCAACAATAAAAGTATCTTTCATTTTCAAAAAGAAAAATGTGTGTTCAAAGGTGGGGCAGGACAGAATCAGGACAATATTCTTCCCAGTCTGAACCAGTGTCCATGTGCATAGCAGAAAAATAAAGCAAATTATTGTTGAAGGGCATAAAAGAAAACCCCACAAAAATGGTGATAGATCTATCTAGCATGGATACCTTTTGTACTACAGATCAATAGCCACTTCCTCTAACATTGTTGTTCATGTAAAAGGTGCCTAATGATGCCATTTCAAGCAAATCTTCACTAAAGGAAGAACAGTGTGTCCACACAGTCCATGTTCTGTATGGATTCCATAGAACTTTATAAATATATAGGCCACTAGTGCCTATGTCCTGATGCAGCCAGGAGAGGAAAAAAAGTCCTGCAAACTTGAGCTCTGCTTTGGCAATATCAAGATACTGTCATCTCTGCATTTCATCTTAAGGACTATCAACACTGAACAAACGGAATTGTGTAGGAGGGCTGAATTTGTTCCTTCAAGATTGTTCTTACTGCAACACTGGAGATAGGATACAGGTTGTCCTTGTTTGCTCCCAAGCTTACTGCTCAGTAGGAAAAAAGAAATGGGCAAAGCCATACTTGTGACAATATCATTTTGTTTCCTTGGTTTTTTCTATGTTTTTGTAATAATTGTGAATATGTAGATATACAGATACACACACACACATGAAATATGACCATAGAACACTTCTTCAGGACTTTTTAGGATAGGACCCTTGCTTGTTTCAGTTGGGACATTTATAAATGTCAAAAGTGTACTTGAAATCTAAGTGCTAATTCCTAATAGGGAAGTATCACAAAGATGTAGCTGTGCCAACTGTTGTGCTTTGATACTAAAGCAGAAAGATGGAGATTAAAAAAGAACTCATCTCACACCCTTGCCCTGTATAGACTGGCAATGAAAAGGTTGTGTACAAATGCAAAGAAATCCACCAAGAACTTTTATTGAAGGCTATCATAAAGGGTTTTTTTCCCAGAATAAATTGGACAGCTAGTGCATTTGCACGGCTGCTTCCATCACAAGGCTGGTTGTTGTTTATGCCCCAGAGAGCATCAATAATCAAGCATTAAATGTGACTGCACTTTGAAGCACAGAGTCTTCTTCAAAGTGTGACCTATAATGAAGGCTTCTAAGTGATCATCTCAATTTCAAGCGGCCCTATTAGGAGGAACTCTCTGAACTCCACTTTCTGAACCATTACGGGATTGTTCATTATTTGTTGAAAGACATCAACAGAAGGATAGAATTTTCTCTGAATATTTCCCAGCATTCCCCACCACACATACCATACACTCTATAAATAATGCAGTGGAACAGCACTAAGCTCAGCTCTGGGAAAGACGCAAAATGCTTACAATGCTCCTGGTTCACTTGCTGCAGCTGCTGCCATTGCTAATGGCAATTTTCCCACCACAGCACTGTTGACGAATTTCCCTCTTCCAGAGTAAATCTGATCCCTCCAAATTTCTCTACCTGTGAATGGGGCTAGAATTGCAAGAAACCTTTTGCTCTCTGCTCTAAAGTCATTCCCCAAGCAAAACCACAAAACCACTGTCCCCCAAGTGTGCCCAAAATGTAATTTTCCCATGACAGATTTGCAATCTCTACTATCTCTCAGTAGTGGAGCTTATGAACTGCAGGACAAAGGTCCTACGGTTTAATCCTTGGTATCTTGAGTTAAAAGGTTCAAGTTGCAAGTAATGGGAACGGGCACTGCCTGAGGGCTGCTATTCTGAGAAGACCAGGTAGGCAGCTTTTGGGGCCATGGTTGGTTTCATGGGCACAGTCATGTAGGATTTTGAGAAATTTAAGCTCTGTGTCAGAATCAGAACATATATTTATCCAGTCAATGTATGAGTAGTTGAAATTACCCATTATTACAGCAGACTATCAAACGGATTTGAATTTTGGTACACTGCATTTTAAAAATATGAAGTGAAACAAAATATAGCCCATTCCTATATTAAAATGGAATATAGGTCAGTGTAACCAAATGTAAAGAGTTGCAAACTGGGGCCAAAAATCCTTACTGTGAATAAACACCAGTGAGATTTGAAGTAGGTGTGATTGTCGTGCATGAAACTCCGACAGAAACAGTGACTCACGAGGAGACCTTACACTTGGCACCCAGTGCCCAAGAGTCGACCCACAACCCAATGCAGGGACGGCTGAGCCAGCTACTGTGTCTTCCTCTGAGCCCCAGCACATTGAGCAAACGCCTGGACCTTTATCAGAGACAGAGAGTCATGAGAAAGAGGAAGCTGCAAGTTCTACTCAGAAGGAGGCAGAGCAAACGGCCTCTTCTCCCCCTGATGCTGACCTCCCTGAGCCAGAAACAGAAGACACAATAGGTGTCGTGGATTTTTCAAGAGCCCAGAACAGACGTATTTTATGCCGATTTGAACAGCTCCAAAGTAGACTGCGTAAGAGGGAGGAAAGGCGTGACTTGGGAGAATGATCCCACGTGGGCTCAGGAAGAGAAGCCATTACAGGGCTAACATCTGCTTAGGGACCGCTATTAGGGAACTTATCTATAGAATTGTAAATCTTGTAGACAATTAGCATTAAAGGACTTTAGTTTTATTGCTCTAGAATGCGTGGAATGTTTACATACCAGGCTGCACCTCAGGGCAGTGAGGGACCAGGAAAGGGATTCTGTGGTTGTGATGTACAGCTTGATGAAAGCACTGAATTGACCTGGACCAGTGTTCATTCATGCGCAATTCTGTTACCTATTCTGTATCCACCCAAGTATTTCATGCCTAAGGAGCAATTGTATACTTTGCCTGGAAAGGAACAAAAGGTGCATCTACACATCAGTTTTATACCATTTTGTTCCTTTTCCCTTCTTCAAAGGGAAAAGGTTATCTATTTTTCTGGGAATACATGATCTGCTTAGAATTCCCGATCAGAGATTTTCCCACTCCTATGTCTTCAGAACAGGAATTTCCATGATTACTGAGAAGTGGAAATGTCTCTAAATCTCTAGATGAGGATAATAGTAGAGGCAAGGATGCAGCTATGACGAAAGGAAAATAAGGCGACTGAAATCCAGGGAAGAGATGGATATTTAATGAAACAGATGGATCCACAGTAGTGAAAAGTGAGTTTCCTCATATCTTGCCCAATCTGGAATGGGCTATACAAAGGCAAATTATTTTCCAAATCATTTTACAAAGGAGAACATTACAAGGTCTGAGCCCCGTCCCATCCATAATGATGCCTTTGGATAGGCAGTGCTGTCTATAGGCTCTTTTGAGAATTCTGCCTCCGTACCATTCCCAGCCTCACTCTTATGTGTTGGTTCACTGTTCCTCTCCCTTTGGCCTTATGTTTTTATCTCTTAAAACTTTTTTTAATGTCTCCAATTCCAGGCAACCTTAACTGGGCATTTCCTCATTGTCAACTAAGTTTCTATTTACTAAGGGATTTTGCTTTTCCTTTGATATGTCTCTTCACCTGACCTTTTGTTAAATGTTATAACGTCCCAGCTCCTGGTAAAACTTATTGGCCTATCTATTTTAACTAAATGTTTGACCTCGAAACTATTAACCTTTTGGCTTGAACTGAACAGCAGACACAAAAGATTTAATTCTCTAATATGTTAGAGGCAAACTGATCACAGAAATGGAAGATGCTTCTGCTCCTTTAGAGTTGGAATAGTTGTGTGGGCTGTCATATGGAAAAGCCAAGAAATTTTATACATCCCATTTCTTCAAATAGAAACTGAGTACTCCCTGTCATCACAACCCCTGAAAAAAACACTCCAAGAGCTTGTTTTCTGGAGAAGTGGCTAACTGCAAGACACAGACAGCAGGAAAAGCAAAAGAAGAAGTCACTCCCTGGAAACCTTTAGTTAGAAACAACTCATTCTTCTTCAGTGAGAATATATTGAAATGGAGAGAGAGAGAGAGACTGAAGCTTAGGTCAGGTATGCATATGAACATACATTTTATGAAACCATTGAAAGTTTAGTCACATACATTTTAGTTATACACAACTTAAAAAAAACTGTTCAAAACTGTCATATACACTAACAGCATGATCCAGCTGCCCATAAGAACCTTAACGCAGAAGATGATGGGCATCCATTGGAGGGCAGGGGGAATATGGACATAAAGATTGTCTCCAATCTTCCCTGACCATCAAGACACTTGGATACTTTTAGTTGTCTAAGTGTTTTATACTAACTTTCCAGGAGCAGCTGGTAGCCCTGTCAGGATTCCTGAGAGAACAGAGGTAACTTTTTCTTCCCTTCCATACATCCCACTGCTGACTCCAATGTTGCTCTTCTGACTGCAGCAGTGTAGAAAGCTACAAAGTTAGACTGAAGGTGTGCCAAAGTTAGAGTAGCAACTCCAACCTTGGAAAGTTTCTCTGGGGTTAAAGCTAGTACTCTGACTTTTCCTATGGCCTTTTAAACAGCATCTGACAGTCATAGGATTGCACTAGATTAGTGCTGTAATGACTTAGTGCTATGCCTTCTCACCATCAGAGACTGTAGCAGCAGGGGAATAACTTAGCAGGTTCTTTAGCATTGCCTTTGCGCTAAAGAACCAAGTGGATCTTTGGTTCAGTTTATTAATGCATTTTACAGTATGCCATTGTTTTAGCCAGATACCAAAACGCTAACACTAGTACAGGACATTTCAAAGTGTAGATTATTTTTCATGGTTTATTTGGCAAAAGTTGACAGCTCACACCATGCTGGGTTTTTTATTTTACTTTTTGCAAAGTCATTTTGGCACTGCATTTTGCTCTCTAAAACCCATTAAATCCATTGAAAGATGTTTAGAAACACCATCAGTCAGGTTTCACACATTTTTATTTATTTATTGCCCTCACTCTGGGGAGTTAAGGATGGCTGCACATTGGTTAAACAATGCGAAGAAGTACCAGCTCTCTTGCTAATCAACTATAGAAAAAATATGTTTCAAAAGTATATAAAAAGCTGTCTTTTAAAAGGAAAGTTAATGACATAATTGCTACATTTTTATTAACGATATTGTCTTAAGCTAGGTAAAGCATTAGGGAGCTTTTTCTATAATTGGAAGCCCAGGAAAGCAGGTGGAGAGAGATGTAACACACCCACACTCACACCCACACACGCAATTTTAACAAGCCTCTACAGTCATTACAGACAGTAGGTGCTCTTTAGTTTTCTTTTATCTGATGATCACCCGATATTTCGCCAGAGCATTTGGTTCCTGTAGAACAGCTGTAACTGTTCCCTTTCTTGCACTGGAATGATATTCCCATTAAATACATTAGCTGCCATTGCTTGTCTATTTTTAGAAACCTGGGGCATGATTATAAACTATTTGTATGTAGTTATACAAATAGTTTTTAAGCATGCCACTTAATTGGCATGTGCATTCTGCAGGACAGAAGGGTGAATAGTTACATTTTCTTGCATTAATGGTGAGAACTTGGCATAATTTTTACTCGTCTGTTCGTTTGACAGCACAAGTCTTACATGCATATTCAGAAGTATTCAACTCCCAGATAAACATTTTGCATCCTAAGATTTTTTAAATTTCACATCAAGGCAACTTGCGTACAAGAAATTATAAAGCATGATGCAGTAAAAACCAAATCATGAAAGCTAAACACAATGTTAAAATAATCGAGAGTCTGAATATCTATATTAAAAAGCACAGTAAATTACACTAAAACATCAGCCCAGCCACCAATCCTAATTATTCCAAAACTACAACAACAATCACAGGCAGATTAAAACAAAAAAGGAAACTCTGTCTTTTCAAGGAAGGACTTCCATACATAATGTGCCAAAGAGCACCAAAACAGCATCCTTGCCGCACTAGCCATCGTAGAGGGAACTAGTCTAGGACTTAGAACAGGGCTCCCATAGCCAGTCTCAAGACTTAGGAAGCCTTATATGTTTCTTGTCACACCATCAGGTAAACTGGTCCTAAACTGATCAGGGTTTCAAAGATCAAAGACAGGGTTTTAAATTAGGATCGTGGTGAGCAGACCGTCAGTGCAATTGGAATAAAAATGGAGTGACATGCATCTAGGCAGTGACATTTTGTACCACCTGAACCTCTGAACCATTTTCAAAGGTAATCCCTTGTAAAGTACACTGCATTACTCTAGTCTGGACAGGATCAACTCATGACTAACCATGGAAAGATCTGCCAAGCTCAGATAGGATCACAGCTGATATATCAACCTCTAGTCCCTGTCATAATTGCTGCTTCCACAAATGGGAATGCATGCAGAACTACTCCCAGGCTGCATACTTGTTCCTTCATAGGGAGTACAGGTTCATCAAGAACTACTAAGTTTGTTTCCACACACACCCACAGTATCTCCATCTTATCTGGATTATATTTCAACCTTCATTCATTCCAAAATCACCTTCATGCATGCCAAGAAGTTCCACAGACTCCCTGAAATGTGTTGACAGAAGCAAGAGATAGACCTGTGTCCTCTGTGTACTTTACTTTAAAGTCACTTTCACTCAAACCTTTGTTTGGTTTCCACCAACGGCTTCATGTAAAAGCAGTGAGGACATGATGGCACTCCAAAAGCTGAAGGACATGAGGTAGAATGGAAGTTTCCCAATATTACCAGTATAAGTTTGTCATACCAGGAAGGATTAGAGCTTCCATAACAGCATACCTTCAAAACTCATTCCATCTAGGTAAACCAAAATGGTTGATGGTATGGATCCTAATTATTAGTCCAATTAAAAACCCTCCACTGGCTGCTAAGAAGGTGCAAGGAATCCTGTTCAGGGGTCAAAACCCAGCAGAATGGCCCAGCTTAACCCACCAGACTCTGGCCTACTAACCCAGTGCTAATAGCAACCAAATCTGACCTGGATTTAACCAAAACAGTCTTCTGCTTTTGTGTATTTTTTAAGCCAGGGAAATTTGCATAAGTCCCAGCTATAATTATAGCAAGATTTTATGCAAATTTGCTTTTTAAAGCAAATTGTGGCTCATTTGAAAAGTGGAAGTTGTGAAAAAGAAAACCCAACTTGGGCTGTTTTTGGTTCTTGAATCAGCATAATGCTGGAAGTCTGTCAGGCACAAGCGGTTTGAATTTCTCAGTGTGTCCATTTCTGCCACCTTCTGCTCTCTAAACATAAGTGGAACCCCAGGAAGAAAACTGTCTTCTCATTTCACCCCTACTCCTATATGAATCCCCAGAAATAGCAGGCTGAAATTTTTCAACACAGAACTAGTATCAACTATTTCCAAAGTCCAGACACTGGACACTAACCCAACTCCATCAACTTTTAGTTATTGTCATAGCAAACAGGTGATACACTACAAGCTTCCATATAGTTTGCCAGCATCCTCAGGCTTCACAAGCCAAATGCTAAATAGCCAAAGAAGGCAGTGTTCCTGCTACAAATGTGAGTGATTTAACCAATGCAAACTGGTTACAGCAGGACTTTAAGGGTCCAATCAGCCACCCCTAAAACCTCTTTGCTAAAGGCCACACATCACTTGAAAGAAATCTGCTGGCTGACAACTCTTCAGACATGATGGTGATGAAGAAGGGAGATTTCTTAAGTCCTGCAATGATTTTTTTGCCTGTTCTGTCAAGCTCATTATGAGCCTTTTGCCTACTGTGCTCTTGTGTTCTAGCTGTTGACCCATTTCGTCACCTGCAGCTCCAAGGCCTTGATTTAATACATTGCCAGAATTTCTGTGCTGTCAGCTGCTGGGTAGGAAGATGGAAAACTTTTCTACATGAGGCATTCATTGTGCACTTGCCATTCCCTGCTCATGGCCAATTGTGAAAGCAAAAGAGAACGTTTTTTCCACTTGTGTAAGGATATTCCACTATTAGTGATGCATCACTTAGATAAACCAAAAGGAAACAGAGCTGACTATCAGTCTTGTATAAAAAGTGCGCAAGCCTCACAAGGCACCCTTCTTTCAGCATCCCCCACATCACACCTTATGCTAGGCTGGTGTTACACTTGATACCTTGGGGGTCATATCTCTCCAATCTTTGCCCAGTTTTGGCCTTAGGTGAGCATTTTAGCAATGCTAAACAGTCAGAGCATTTCCCTGATTTCTTAGCAAGTGTTCTCTCCCTTAAATTACTTACATTTTATCACTCATCCTTTTCCTCTATCGCCCTCAGTGATTTCATCACATGGCTAAATCTAATTAAATAGGTAAAAGCTATGTTGTCATCCTGCTGATTGTGCAATCTCTGATAGGTTAGGTTCCCTGAATGTGATTAATTCAGTAAGGGAAAAGCAGCAGCTGCCAAATCAAACATAGCCCTCCAGCTCCACTCCCCCTCAAACCCCAGCAGTTCTGGAAATAACAATGGGAGAAACTTTCAAAAATTGTTTTCATGCAAAAAAGTCACCTAAAGGAACAAAAATCCACTTTACCAAAATGAGAATTAATGTTAAAACTTGAAAACTGAAACATGTTCAGATCTCCTCTAAATCCTAACTTAATGCCATGTCTTTCTGGTGCAGTTGGCATAGTTATTGAAAATGAGACTAGGGAGGTCAGAAACTGCACGTATTTGTTTTTCATTGTTCAACCACCAATATTGTACTGGGAAATCAAGAAAGGTGGAGTACTCTTTCTTTATCTGAGCAATTGTTTTCATAGTAAGAAGGCTTTATACTCAGAATGTTTTTACAGTATTTTATTTCTTGGTTTTCTGTTTCAGCTTTCTTAGGTGTTCTGACTTCCATGGGAAAGAGAACTTCTTTGAAAGCCCACTTCTTCAGCTTAGCAAGCTGCTATTGCTGTTCGCTTAAAACTCAAACATTTCTGCTTTATCTTACAAAGAGGTCATCTGGGCTCCTGTAAAATCTGTATTGCTGTTCAATAATTCAAAAGTTAGTGTAATAAAATGTTGGTGTTAACTGAATAGTGGATTTCTGCTTGGAAAAGAAGATCGTCCCAGGCCTTTCCAAGTTGCATTGCCCCTTCGTTCATTATTAATGTGATCAGTATTAATACAGCATTTTAATGCTCACACACCATCTCACTTTTCAGCCTCACTTTCCACACTGACTGGCCTCAGCATATCAGCTGTATTACTCCACAGGCTGCAGAGGAGTCTGCACATGCAGTTCATAAGGGATATTGGCCAAAACAGTTGCATCTCTGTACTTTACACTGATAGAAAAAAATCTGTTTCAGTTGCCTGCCTGCCTGCCTTCAACCAGGATTTACTCAGTTCACACCTTCTGGACCAAACATGGACTCGGATGCAATCTGTGATAGAAACTCCTATATTTTCAAATTGCAGCATGATTTGCAGACCTCCCAAAAAGCATTTGACAACATGCATGAATTTGAAAAGTGCACATTTCAAAAATGTGCACAAATACACTTTATTGACTGAGAGTTGGATATGTATCTTGCAAAGATGCATGCAACTGATATGTACACCTGGGAAAATCTACATTAAAATATTTTCATGTGAGGAAAAGAAAGCAAGCAAGCAAGCAAGCAAGCAAGCTCACAATTTGATATGAATTCAAGACAAAAGTGGAATTTGATGAACTTCGGTGAGTTTGATT